TGATCATTTTAAAGCCCTTATTGTTCAAAATATATCCCGAAACAATGTTTCTTCTCATGTTCAGTACATAATACACATTTTCCAATGTGAGTATCTTGCTCGAACTAAACTTTAGTTCTACCATACCCTTTCCATACATATTTACCATAGCTTGGGTTTCAAGTTGAACTGAATTACTGTCACCCACTGGTTCAAAAGTCTTAAAGATGTCTCAATTATTAGACACATAAATGGTAGCACCGGTAATGACCCACTATCCATTGTCTTTATCAATCATATTTATTTCGATTACCATTGTTACAAAATTTTCTTCAGTGGTCAAGTTTACTTGGTCTCTTGGCCTTTTGAGCCCTTTTTGGTGTCGACACTCTCTTGAATAGTGTCCCAGTTTTTTACATACATAACAAATGGCTTTCTTTTTATTTTTGTTACCAATAAACTTTTGGTCCTTATAATTTTCATTGTGGACCTTAGAAAAGAAATGCTTCTTGTTATGTAGAGCACATGATGTTTGCTCAACAAGGACTTGGAGTGAAAATTAATTGATTAATCTTTCTTTTCCCTAAGTCTATTCTTTTCTTCAATTCTAAAATATCTTTGAAGTTGAACCAAATCATGATCAACTTTCTTATATTTCATTTTCTTTTGGTACTCTTTCCAAGATAGCGATAACTTACGAATTATTGAGCCAACTAGGAAATATTCATCCAAAGGAATACCACAATCTTTAAGTTCATTGACTACAAGCTACAACTCATATACTTGAGAGAGTATAGGCTTGTTTTCAATGAATTTAATATCTAAAAATTAGATATCTGAAATCTTTTGTTACCGGACTCTTCCGTGAGGTACTTGGTTTCAAGTAGTTTCCAAAGCTCTCTCGTTGTGCCAATAGATGCACACATGTCATAGATCGGGTCCGCCAAGGTATTTAGGATGTGACCCTTGCATATATGGTCATCCTCCATCTATCTCTTGTATGATTGAGTTGCTCATCAGTGGAGTGTAGGCATTAACTCGGTGACAATGTAAGCCACTTTGAGAGTGGCAAGCAAAAAGTTTAACATTTTGCTGCCATCTCTTGAAATTCAGCCCGTTGAAGCATTCGAGTCTAGTAAAATCGTGATTCATGACCTTCAAAGAAGTTATGATAATCTCCTTTCTTTCACCCATGGAATATCATCTTGAAGTGTGGAGTTATGATGGGTGAAATGGGGGCAGAAAAATGGTACGATTTGCAAAATTAGATATCGAACTCTTCATGTTTTCGGGCACGCATGAGGGCTATCTCAAGACGATATTTACCCCCCTTTGATGTAGTATTTGTTGTGCATGAAAATGACAATTCGTCCTCGAGATATAGGAAAATAGAGAGGTCTTATAACAATATTCTTAAGCTCTATGCACTCGAGCTTGAAACCCACACAATAGACACTAGAGTCTTGATAGTTTAGAGAGAGAAAGAGAAAATCGAGTGGAGAAAGAGTTAGCCCACTGATTTGCTTTCTGGAATTGCAGAGAATAGTCTCTTGAGAGAGGCTAAAAAATTGTTCTAAATGTGTAAAATCGTATGGGTAGGGGGGCTATTGTTATAGAGGTGTTGTGGTAGTTACATACATCACTCAACAACTACAAGTTACATGCACCCCAACAGCTAGCGCCTATACCCTTGCCCTAGTACACATGTACGCACATAGGCATACGCATTACACGCTTCGTGTGCTCCGCACATGTTCCTTCTCTCTCCTGTGTACTTAGAATATATTTTACAGGAATGAATGCTCTTAAATACACCTTAATAAACTCTCTCCTCTTCAATATGGGACTCAAACCCACATCTTTCTCTTTCTACAAAGCAATTTAGGAAAGAACAATAAAACTATAATAAAAATAATTTAGGAAAAAATAATATACCATAGTGTTGGTTTGAAATACATATAAGTGTTTTCAAACCAAAAATACTAACAGTCACTTCCTTGTAAAACGGTCACCGATGATGGAAGTGTGTGTATTCTAAATCTGCCTATTGTAGTACGAGAGACACGATGTCTAGTTGCCCAAGTTTTGACCTACAATACAAATCGAGTTACAACTTGCCAATCATTTGATAATGGGAGTTTTTCAAGATTTTTTTTTCAAGAATAAAATGAAAATGAAAAAGTAACCCTTAAATGTAAATTGGATCATTTGACTCCTTTAATTATTGCACCTGTTAAATGATATATTCCTTTGTTTCAGTTAAGACAAGCTTGTCCCCTTTATTTTTGGGGGCAAATGGTCCCAACCTTTTCATGCATAGTAACATTAGGAAGAAAATTATTTTATGATATGCTAAAGTGATTGAAGTTTTCTTAGTAAATAAATGTGGCAAAACAAGTGTTTAATGGACCGATAATTATTGGGAGAGCATTTGAAACCATGTGGCATTGTCTATGTCAATGTTCAACAACTCAGTTGAGTCCACTTGGACTTGGCCAAGTTACTTGATGATGCAAGATAAAATTATTCATATTTTAATTTTTATTTAATTTCAAAGGATGTATATATAATTTTAGTTTTATCATTTATTTTTGGGGTTTTTAATCTATTTAGGGATTATATGATTTTGTATAGTTTTTGAATTTTTAGACGTTGTTCAGAAAAGCACTTAACATTTATAGAATATTTTGTTTCATCAGGAGTAAAACTGTCATTACAAATTTATGTTTAAGTTATGGCTTTGATGTCATTATATTCATTATATTGACATTTGGTGTCCTTAAACACTAAATAACGTATTATTTAAGACGTGCACGAGGCGCTTGAGTGGTCATTCACCTTATCTATTTTTCAAAAACACGGAGAGGGAAGCTCCATGATTTTCAACCCTAGCTTGGATGTGGAGAAGAAGTCCTAGTTTTTTTCGAATAAATAATGTTTTACTTGTTTTCTTGTTTAGTTTATTGCTTCCACAAATTTTCCCGCATCACTCGGCTTTGCCTAGTGACTGAGCTACTTAAATATGTATCCATGCGGATAGATAGATTTTTTTTTTCTTTTTTAAATCTCTCTCTCTAAAAAGGGGCAAATCCACTCTTTTTTTTTATCTCTCTTTTTTTGAAAGTGTGGAAGATCGACTCCTCTTTTCATCTCTCTTTGTGTCTCTCTCTAAAGAGAGGCAATTCTACCCCTTTTTCATTTCTCTCTCTTTCTCTTTATCCAAAAGGGGAGGTATAATTCTATGCCCTTTCTCATATCTCTCGTAGGGGTTTTATTTCTCTCTCTTGATCTTTTGAACGAAGGTAGTTCTTTCCCATCTCATCTCGCTCTAAAAAGGGCAAACCTCTTTTGAATTCTCTTTCTCTCTCTCACTCTCTTACAGGGGGTAGAAACCCACCCCGGTTTTCCTCTCTCTCCATCTCTCTCTGTCCCTTATTTTCCTCTTTCTTTTTTTTTTTTCTTTTGGGTAATTCAGTAGGGAAGATCCGCCCCTCCCCATTTTTTCAAGTAGATTAGGAGTTAGCTTTTTGAAAGTGTTAGTGGGGTGGTGTTAGTGGTGGGAATGGAGACCACGGTCCCTCCCCATTTTTTCAAGTAGATTAGGAGTTAGCTTTTTGAAAAGTGTTAATAGAGTGGTGTTAGTGGTGGGAATGAAGACCACAATGTGGTGACTAGGATGTGGGGTGCTACCACCACGACCCCAACCTTTCTTTCTCTGTCTCTTCACATATCCCCCATTTATCTCTCTTTGTCTCTCTGAAAAGGGGCCAGAAACTTACCCCTATTTTCCCCATTTATCTCTCTGAAAAGGGGCCAGAAACCTACCCCTATTATATATATATATGTCCCACTCCCTCCCCTCCCCTCCCTCGCTTTAATGTTCACTCTATCCTTAGGCTATTGCCCCCCTCTTCATTATTTTCTTCAATTTTGTGGGTTTTTAAATCTTTTTCTAAATATGTATACTACTTGGCTGAGTTCACTTGGACTCGCCCGAGTACACTCAGGCAAGAGCCGAAACGAATGCCTAAGCCGACCGAGTTATTGAACATTACTCTATAGTACCCTGAGTTTATGATGCACCTGCTTCGTAAGGCTTCATCAAAATGTTATTACTAATGTGTTAATTGATACGAATAGTATGAGATAATGTATTAAATTAGAAAATATGACCATGCCTCTTTTTATACTATGTAATTGAATATTGTATAAGCTTAGTAAATTGAGTAAATTATTTATGTGATATTTCAGATAACAATTATTTATGAGGTATCTAAAATAAAATATAAAAATTAATGTATCAAATTAAATAAATTAAATCAAATTAATTCAAGTCATTTATATATTCATTACATGATTTAATTTTTACATATTTAATATATGAATTTTTATTTTGAAATGTTAACATTATGATTATCTATACTAATATAATAGTATGTTTAATTAATGATCAATTATCTTTAGGTGATGTGTGAGAGAGATGCGTATCCTACTTGAGAGAGAGAGAGATGCACATCCCACATTTTCATGAGTCAATCCCCATCTTTAAGGCAGAGAGAGACGTAGATGTCCACTCATTATCACTTTTCTCTTCCCTTCCGGTCTTCTTTCATTGTGATTGTGTTGTCATTGGCTTTAATACTTAGAAAATTATTGCAATTAAAACCTAATTTTCTAAATCCTCCGTTATGAGAGAGAGAGAGGGAGAGAGAGAGGGGGTGGGGATAGAGTACACCAATGCAACAAAGTTGGAACTCGTTTGGTTGATTGAGAATATATAACACCTTGTAATATAAGTATGCGTATCCCTTGTGAGAACCACAATCTTTGTTTGGAGAAATTATTTTGTGATGTTAAATGAAAATTTACGATCAGAAAATTCAATAGTTCATGTCATAGATATTGTAATAAATTTATTTATTCTTTCTTTTATCACAACTACATTGTTTTCCCTACAATAATTAAAAATGTTAATTTTAAGTTTCAAAATATCAAAGTATATAACTCGATGATTTTCCAAAATGTTGATGTTAATTGAATCTTTGGTATGTAAGATATTTATATAAAAAGATGCAATGGAAAGGAAAAAAAAGAAAAAGATTACATCATAATTAAGACATAATATTAAAGTTTGGAATGAATGTGCAGAGTTAATTAATATAAAATTAAATGTAGAGTAATAATACAAAAGTTGCAACTGAATTTCTATGGATTCACATATTCTAGGAAATCCAAACAGTGGACATGCATATCCATGTTTCTTATTAGCTTCTATCCAAACAGCAGACACCCTTATCCCATGGATAGACCAATTCTAGGAGAAGTCAATTACAGTATAAGCCTATCCTACAACATGCTTCTCCAAGTACCTAAAACAAGCCCTTAATTGAGAGAGAGAGAGAGAAAGAGAGAGAGATTTGAAAAGATTAAAGGACCAATAAGGCATAAATTAAAATCAAGAATGTAAATTTGAAATTTGAAAAGGAACTTGTCAAAATAATAAAAAGGACATCCTCTTGCTTAATATATAAAAGAGAAAATGTTATATAAGGATGAGGCCTCAAACAATCAAATTAAGGTATGCCTCAAAAAGTTGGTAGAAGAGGTTGTTTCGATGCCTAAAAATCCTTAAATCGATCATCTCGACTTCGAGATATATGGATATAAGAAAAAATGAATTCCAAATCTTGAAAATAGTGCATTTTGTAATTCATTTTTTGGACGGTTGATTTTCAAGATCTACTCGACCTAAATTATTTTTTAAGCTTTAAATTTTATAATCAGAGATATGCCATCACAAATATTTCCGATACTAAAACATGTTTCGACAATATTTAGATGTGTGCCTTACTTTGATTAGTAAGGGCCTGGGCTGTATACAAACCACACCGTAAAAATATAAAATAGATATATAGATATTTAACCTTTGTTTTAACGGTGTAGTTTGTATAAGGCTAAGGCCCTAAATAATCAAAGAATGACGCACCTCCAAATAGTGTTGAAAGGTATTTTTAGCACTAAAATTTTTTGTGATGGTTTCAAAATTTATTTTTATATCCAATTATAAAATTTAAATACTTAAAAATGGTGTGGATCAAGCTTATCTATAAACATTTGAAAATTGATGGTCCAAAAATTATATTACAAGATACACTATTTTCGATAATTGAAATTTATTTTTGCATGTCTTGAAATGATCTATTTGAGCATTAAAGAATCTCTTGAAGTGAATTTTTAAGGTGCGTCTTGTTCAGGGCCTTACCTTTATATAAACGTTTTCCTTGGTTTTAATTAAGCAAAGTCGCAAATTCCCCTTAGATTTCTTGTGGAAAACAGATCCCGACCTTTTCACGAGTAGTTGAACCATTTCAGAAAATATTTTCTGATGTGCTGCAGTAAATCAGCGTGTTAAAGCGGGCGGTTCAACGGCAAAATAATTTCTCGGATAACATTTTTCCAAATCCCAAACATATATATTCCCTAATATTCGGTTTTATCTGCAATCCTCCTGGGGCTCCCTTAGCACTGCCTCCTCTCTTTGGAACATATATATTCCCTAATATTCGGTTTTATCTGCAATCCTCCTGGGGCTCCCTTAGCACTGCCTCCTCTCTTTGGCTGGCTCTACAAGCCTGTAAATTCATTTATTACACGAAACACTTGACATGCTATTGCTATGGAAATTTAGAATTACTCGTAATATTATTTAACTAAATTGAGATTTTTGGATTTCGAGATGCTTCCCTTTAGGGTTTCCCGTGTTTGTGTTTCTAGATTTTTGAGCTTCCCTGTTTGGAGAGCTTTCTGAGATGGGGAGATCCAAGAAAACTCCCAAATTTGCTGTTAGGAAGAATATCATTAGTTCGAAGACAATTAAGAAGTAAAGTTAGCCACCCATGTCATTGAATTTTTACATTGATTTGGCCTGGTTTTCTGGGTATTTTGCGCCTGGTTTTCTGGGTATTTTGCTTACTCTGTTGAGTTCTGGGGTATTTAGTTTACTGTTAGTTTTTTATTTGGTTATTTTTTGGTATTTTGATAGGGTACAGGGAAGAGGTTCTCAACCCGAACAAAAAGGATCTTACAAAAGAAAAGCTTCCACCAAATGTGTAAGCACATTTGCTACTCACTTCTTCTTTTCCTTTTGTCTTAAGAAAAGATAACTTTCTTTCTCTTCTTCTTCTTTTCAATATATCGAATGGATGATGATTTCCCATAGTACGAATTCAGTTTGGATGTCCCAGAAATGTGTAGATAGGACCAGACATATTTCTTATTTGTTAACGTAAAATGTTGCTTAGTAATAAAAGGAAATATGTACAGTTATATACAATAGCAGTAACGAGAAAAAATTACAAGTTAGGTTTTCCCTGAAAAAGTATAGAGTACTGAGATATCCTGAGGAATTGGCTTTAGCAAGATAATTAGCAGTTTGTCATTTGAAATTTGATCAATCAGATTTTTAGCTTATATTGTTTGGTCTCTTCCGTTCGGGCTTTGTGATTGATTAGATATAAGTTATTCTTGATTGGGCTTTAAGACAGTTCCTTATAATGCATTCATAAATTGTATTTTAGACCATATGTTTCATCAGCCCTTTTCTTCAAGTACAACACGGCACTTGGGCCACCGTACAGAGTCTTGGTTGATACTAACTTCATCAATTTTTCTATTCAAAACAAGGTGAGACCCTGCCATTTGTTTGTTAAAAACTTGAAATTCAGGAAAACGTTCCCTGATTCATTATACAGTTTGTGTTTCATTTGTATGATAAACATATTCGGATTTCATGATGCATTATTAGAGTGCCTATTCTATATCGAGTTCATATTTATTTTGAAAATACATGGTACATTGTTAAATGAATCATGCGTGCATAAAATTTATTTCATTGTAGATCTTGCAAGGCATCTGACGTATCTCATGCTCTTCACATCCATACTGAACATCTTCATTTAAAGTCTATGGTTATCACTTGATTAGTGTTTTCTCCCCTTGATTTGCCACCTCAAACCAAGGTGGACTTGTTCAATGTGGTTTGTGCATAAAATTTTGAATTTCCTAGTTCATAGAACCTTGATTGCCCTTACATGTTAAAGTTGGTTGTAGAAGAGGTTTATGACTGTCAATTCTTGCTTTTGTGTCACTGCATGAAGCATGTAGTATTATTTTTTTCTTTGTTGCTTACAAAAATTAATTATCATAACCAAAAATTGGCTTCATAGGGCATTGAGGCATCTTATACGAGAGTGTGTATTCTTAGTCTATATTTGGTAGATAGCTTTCTTCATGCTACCTGGTTCTCGAGTTTAGCAACAGGGAGTTTTAGTTCATCAACAGAGACTTGTCAAATGTCAATCACAAAAGCTTCAACTGGAAACTCATGACTTACCCAAGAAGCTGTTCAAACATCTCAGACCTGTCATTTGTAGGCATCTTAGTACTTTCATAGGGCTAATTTGAATTTTGTTGAGCATATTGAAACCACTCTCGCTCTATCACTGTGTGATCAGTGGTTCTTGGCCAAAAGATCATCAATAAGAGATACTTCTGTTTCTCTGGCAAACGTGTGATGACTTATAAGAGGGATATCCATCGTGGATACGTGAAAGAGCTTGTTTCTAACTATCTTGGTCTTCTTCTCTCTAAGAGCAGTCCTAAAAAGGAGCATTCCAATCATCTTTGGAATTCATATTCTATAATTGGAATTGGTGCTTATCTTTTACAGATATTTGCGGTATGTTTCCAATTCTTATTTAATTCAAAGTTAAATCAGAAGCATTTGCTTGAAAATTTCTTTGGATTATTGCGGTCTAAAGTATTCTTAGACTTTATGGCTGCCTTGATCAACTCTAGGGCACATTTAGAATTAGAAGACTTGGTGTTGTTAGCAATGTAGAGGTTGCCCCAAAATTTTTCTTATCCCTAGAGCATCTTATCTCTTCTTGTATATCCCGTGTAATTGGGCAAAACTTATAAGCCCCAAAATTTTTTGTACAGGGCTCCTGTTCAGTAGCCTATTTTTTGTCAAGAGGCCCGGTTTGTGGGCCCTCTCGATGATATACTGTAACCTTTTTCTTAATAGAATAGTTAACTTCATTAAAAAAAAAAAATGTAGAGGTCGCCCATACATGAAACTAGGTCTTTCGTTGCTGTAGGTCAAACCTAGGCTTTCTGCCTTAGATGAGAGGGAGTAGGGATATTAGCATGAAAATCTCTTATGAGGAAACACAATTTTCAAACTAGAGAAGGATCCACCTAATGACCATCTAGGACTATACAGCCCATAGACCACCCAGGGGGAGAGAGAGAGAGAGAGAGAGAGAGAGAGAGAGAGAGAGAGAGAGAGAGAGAGAGTAGTAGT